ACTGTTGCATACTCCAATGAGTATGGGCAGAACCAAAGATCAACCAATGTAGGATGAGCATATATGCAGCGGAAGTCTGATAAACGGACTGACTCACCTAGACTGACTCACACAGACTGACTCACATAGCATCACTCCACACACATACAATCGTGAGATGGTGGGGTCTGGGCCATTCATAGACGATGCCCAGATCCCGTACACGCATTCACAGATGGAAGGTGGGAGGAGAGACGAAGGAGGTGGGGAGGTAGACAACACCGATAGATAGAGTCTGATAGGTCTCCGATATGGTAGTCCAAAATGTCATACAACAGGATCAAAATGTCGAGGCCCATAGGTCACCAATGTCGGAGATACAGAGTCCAGATGTAACCGGGCTCAGGCGGCAATGGCCGCCGTGCTGGCTCAGTCGCCCTGCTGCTGCTCCGCTTGCCGCTGCGCTAATGCTGCGCTGCCGCTGCTGCTCCTTGCTCGCTCAGTCGCCCTGCTGCTGCTCCGCTTGCCGCTGCGCTAATGCTGCGCTGCCGCTGCTGCTCCTTGCTCGCTCCTGCGCTAAACTTAGCGCATCAAACAGCACTCTGGTGCTGACCATAACGCATCGGTAGAGTGCCGGTGGTTCGATCCCTCCAAGTGAGGCTGTACCGGTACTTATACCGGTGGGGCAGAGGCCGGCCTCAATGCTGCGAGGCCTGGCCATGCCCTGAACCGTCCAGATGGACGGTTCAGCCCCAACCGGCGGGMGGCAGCCTCAAGAGCGCCGCCAGGCCCAAACGATAATGCCGTTTGGGCCTGCTCGTCGGGTACTGGTCCAAGATGAGACCTTTAGGGCCTGTAATACCCCCAAGGTCGGGCCTTCAGGCCCTGATGTGTCCTTCCGGCCCTAAGTCGGGTCCGGTAGGACCCATGTGCGTCGAAGATGTAACACTCTCTCTCTCTCTCTCTCTCTCTCTCTCTCTCTCTCTAGTTTGTGCACGCACATGTTTTTTTTTTTCTTTTTTTTCTTATGTAAAATGGTTTTCATGGACCACGGATCAGATATGAAGCTGAACACAGCAGATACTACGCTTGCTCTTGGGGGGCAGGTTTGGGTGGCGGGCAGTTACTCTCGATCGAAGCAGATACTGCACTTGATCCAGGGGCGGGGCGGGGGGGACGTAGCTGGTTAGATTGGGGTCTCTCTGTCCCTCTCTCACTTTCTCTCTCTCGCGTGCGCGCACACACCATTCTTTTTTTTTTTTGGTTAACCGTCTCCACTGACCACGGATCCAACACTACACTTCATCGTTTGAGAGGGTGAGTGGGGGGCACGCGGTTAGTTAGATTGGGGTCTCTTTCTCTCTCCCTCTCTCTCTCTCGTCTCTCTCCCATGTCTTGGACGTGCTTGTTTTTTTTCCCCCCATTTTTAACCGTCTCTATGAACCACAGATCCGATCAAAGCATATATTGCACTTGACTGTGTGGGGTGGAGGGAGCAAATAGTTAGTTAGGTTGGTCTCTCTCTCTCTCTCTCTCACGCGCGCACGCACGTGCTGTTTTTTTCTCTTATATACCCTAAAGGAAAAAGCGGTCCGTGCATGACGCTCCCGCTGGGCCCAGCGAAAATCGGGCAGGGAGGTCCACGCGCGGTGCCGCAGGGGACGAAGGAGTTTGGGGAGGCTGGTAGCCGGCTGTCGCAGGGTCCCGTCGGAGTGGGCCGGTAGCGTGGCGGGCCGGTCGGGTGGACCGTCGGGAGTCGGTCGGCAGTGGGGCGGGGCGGTTGGGTGGACCAAGGGCAGAGCGGGCCGATAGCGTGGTGATAGCATGGTGGGGCGGTTGGGTGGACCGCGGGGGGATCGGCCCGGTAGCGTGCCGATAGCGTGGTGTGGGGAGAGGGAGCGAGAGAGAGAGAGAGAGAGACAGAGAGAGAGAGAGAGAGAGAGAGAGAGAGAGAGAGAGAGAGAGAGAGAGAGAGAGAGAGAGAGAGAGAG